GCAAAAAGGAAGTGTTGATACACAAGGTAGAGGCATGTGAGCCTTCTCCCGTTGCATCTCTTATTTGGGGGAGGTGTCACGGCAAGGGTGTATATTTTATTATTACACTATGGAATATCATCTTTTAATGTAATTTGTGTAGTAAATAGCACAAATTACAGAGATGCTATTGCTGAGGTCAACAGGGGTTACATCTTTTGAAGCTGGGACCCCCACAGAGGTCAGATGACAGAAGGGGTAGTGTGACTGGAATAGCAATGTGAAAAGGATTTTACTATATGGATGTGAAGTAATCAAGAATCTGCAAGGTGTGAGGTTCTACACTTGGAAAAAGTCTGAATGTCTCTTCATCCATTTGGCATATACCTTGTAAAGGATAGTTTAATCATTTGAAATGGTAATGGGATTCGTTTCATGAAGATCCTTGTGTTCCAGTATCTTATCCGAGTGAAACATTCATACTTACCCACAGGTTAATAATTAAGCCTAATTTTTATTATATTTGGAATGGGACAAGGCCAATCTTTTAATTAAGCACAAACATGAGTTGTGCAACTTAAACCGTGTGGCAGGACTTGTGATGTCCGTCCTATTGGATCGTGGGCGGGGCGTGCAACATGTCTTTGGAATGGGAAAACAATAACAAATTCATAGAGGCAATTATTATTTCTGTGGCAAGTACAATAGAGGAGATAAAACCAAAAGTTTGCATGTCGCTTGTTGTTTTCTGGAACAAAGGAGGTGGTCACTTAGTATCCCTATTGCTCCACCCCTGGGTGAGACGTTGCAATTCACAGGGTATATCTCCTGTGATCCTGAAGGGTGTTTGTGTACTTGCTTGGGGCCAAGATCTAATTTTGAGTGAGTCACCATCTTTCCTTGCCAGAGACCCCCTGGACAGAAGTTGTACTTTGAAAACCTAAGTGAGTAATTAGGACTTCTGTGTCTGTCTCCCTCCAAGTCAACGTTGCTACCATCAGCTCCACCACGCAGGCTCGCTGCCTAGGTGTTCTCTTTGACTCTGACCTCTCCTTCAAGCCTCATGTTCAATCTATCGCCAAATCCTGTAATTTCCATCTCAAAAACATTGCGAGCATCCGCCCCTACTTAACGCCAGATGCGACTAAGGTGTTGGTCCATTCCACTGTCCTTTCTCACCTTGACTACTGTAATCCGCTTCTCAGTGGTCTTACGTGCTCCCAACTTGCGCCGTTACAGTCCATAATGAATGCGGAGGCGAGGCTCATCTTCCTGTCCGCCCGCACCTCCCATACCTCACCCTTCTGTCAGTCCCTACATTGGCTTCCTATAAAATATAGAGCTCAATTTAAAATTCTGATTCTTGCTTTCAAATCTCTACATAATGCTGCTCCCACCTATCTATCCTCCCTTATACACAAGTATGTGCCGTCTAGGCCCTTACGATCTGCTGAAGACTTACGTCTATCTTCTGTCCGTACTCCCACCTCTGATGCTCGCCTTCGAGATTTCTCGAGGGCTGCACCGTTCCTGTGGAACTCGCTTCCCTCCTCCGTTAGATGCTCACCCAGTCTCCACTCCTTCAAAAAATCGTTAAAAACCCACTTCTTCATAAAAGCGTATCAATTAAACTGTTAATAGCTCCTGACTGATTCCTCTTCTGCAACTGTCACTGGTCTAATACTATCCTTACCTTTTTGTGTCATTTTACCCCACTCCCTCTAGCATGTAAGCTCATTGAGCAGGGCCCTCAACCCCTCTGTTCCTGTGTGTCCAACTTGTCTGGTTACAACTACATGTCTGTTCGTCCACCCATTGTAAAGTGCTGTGGAATTTGACGGCGCTCTATAAATATAATAATAATAATAATAATAATAATAATAAACTATGTTCTGGTAATCCTCATAGTTTTTTAATTGTTGCATCAGATTTGTCAGTGGCAAAATGTGGTGTGTATGCGTATATATTCTGCAATACACTGAAAGGAGCATTTCTGTGCCATTTGGTTCACAGATCAAGTAAGAAAAATATTTTTTCCATCTATGATTTCTTTTTTTTGGAACTGAAGCAAATGAACATGCTTGTCCATCGTGCTAGTCGTCTGCTTGGTTATATGTCCGTATGGCACTTCGGAGATATGGAATTTGGCTGATTCTCTGATTGCCCTAAATTCTAACAAATTGCAATTGCAGCCAAATCTGAATGCACAAGTCTATTCATCAGAATTCTCTATATTTTGAGTGATTGACAGAGACTTGACATATGAAAGAAACATTTTTTTTCTTGGAACAGACCCTATGAACATCATTCTCCATCAAGAAAAAGAAACAAAATACAGCAGTGATAATGCTTCAACTTAAGTTCCATTTAAATAAAGTTGAAAATGTATAAATCATTACAAAATATGTCTATTCACATTATTTTTGTTCATTTATTTTATAACAGTTGGCGGCTGTTGTCAGTTTATCTTGGACTCAAGCCCTTCTTCCATGTGCAATAATTTTTTGTGCTTGTGCTCAATCAGATTCGGCAGCATTTCGACAGGGTATGGTTGAGAGACTTCTGTGTTGTACAAAGGTGTCTCAAAGACAGTTTAGTCAATACAGAAATGCATATTTAGCTATAGCTACAGATCACGGCTTTCTTTCTATCTATTTATACATCTACCCATACATACACATCGTTACTCTAATTGCAAATGTTAGATCACAGTTTTAATAAGGAACGTTTATGAAACACAGTTTCTTTCAGTGTATGTTCATTAGTAGTCTTCCTTATTAAAAGGAAGATATTGCAGATCTTCTAATGAACAAGTTTATCTGACACTGCCGCATTCGAACACACATCCTGTTTGTCCGATCTATACATGTAAATGGTACATCTTTTAGTACTTACGAACCGTAGAGCTGTAGACTATTGAAAAAGAACAAAGTAGAACCCATTAGAAGCAAGCAAGCACTTCCAATACATCACACTTGGGTCAATGTGTCTATTCCATTATGGTTTTATTTTCCATTTTATGTTGATATAAAGGAATATGAAACGTGAAGTTGTTCTTTTTTTTATTTGTCTATTGTGTCAATTTAGATTCCTTACTTGAAGCATCATGAAAGCAAAATTCAGGCCTGGATGAAATTTGAAAGTAAGTGTTTATGCCACTCCAGATCCTCTATGGTTGATCGTGAAGACATTTATAATGACAGACGAATGAGCAGCACTTCGTAAAGTTCACACAGCAATTCATAAATACACATCTGCTTTCTTCTTCCATATGTACTTACTCCAAATACTTACATAAAATACTAAGCCAAATGATAGTCTGGTCACTAAGTGGTCTGGTAGGATTTAGCACCTTTCTTAGGTAAAAGGATTCTTAAAATGTTGAAAGAAACGATTCCCTATTTGTATCTATATTTATAGTTTAGCTTTTAACGCTCAAATTTAGATTTTTGTTGCTAGCCAACAATATTTTTACTGTGAATATTCTATTTACTTTTTATTATTTCAGCTTTCACGTACTTCACTAAAACTTCCCAGGGTGTTGCAATAGAAAACAATATTTTTCCACCTAATATTTTACTTTATCAACCTTTTAACATCATGTATTTTTGCAGCATCTCTCATCTAAAATCTAAAAATGAACAGGAAAACTCTACTGTCATAAATGCCTAAATTACAAGAGGACATAGTCTTAAATTAGAGGGACAAAGGTTTAAAAATAATATCAGGAAGTATTACTTTACTGAGAGGGTAGTGGATGCATGGAATATCTTTCCAGCTGAAGTGATAGAGGTTAACACAGTAAAGGAGTTTAAGCATGCGTGGAATAGGCATAAGGCTATCCTAAGGTCCAGGGACTAATGAAAGTATTTAGAAAATTGGGCAGACTAGATGGGCCGAATGGTTCTTCTCTGCCGTCACATTCTATGTTTCTATGTATTTATTACATTAGAATGCTTCTTTAAGGTAGAGTTCTGGCCATCATTACAAACTGGTTTCTGAAGATCTTATGTCTAGCGAGACTTGCCCTGCTAATTTACCATGGACAGTATAACACAGCCATGTGTTTGCTTATTGAATGGCACATACAATTTTGAAAAAAAATTTGTATTAATACCAGATTGTTTTGGCAACAATAGGCCATCGCGGGTGCATTGTTAAATCTCGACAGGTGATTTGGGGTAGAAATATTTAAAGTGCTATGTTCCAGTATTCCTGTTCTGAGTCTTGCTAGTTGTGGCTGTTTGTTTTTAATTTAATTTAAATGGGTGGAATATAAGATAATTCATTTTTTTTTAAATCCATGGCTTGATGTGGTGAGGCCGTAAGGGTCTGTTTTTACTGTGGATAGTATGTTTTACACCCAGATTTAGTTCTGAGGAAAAGGTGCACACATAGAAATCAATTAATTATGTGAATTGAGGTCACGCTGCAGTAGATTATCTGTCTGTTTTTTTATTTTTAGTTTTTTCATTACACATTGTTATTTCCTGGAGCCAAATTCTACATATTAAGGTGTATAAAACAATAAAAAAAACTCTCAGTATTTTTTTTTAAAGTGCTATATATAATTGTATTTCCCCCAAAAAGTCTAATTTTGCGGTGATTAAAAAAGGTGATTAATATCCAACGCTGGTAACCATTCAATAATATCTTATAACTTTCATTTAGAATTGTACACCACCAGTTATCAGAGCAATCACAATACAAATTCCACAAGCCATTTTTCTATTGGTAAAACTGTCAATGTTAGAAAATTGTATTGTCTTAAAAATGGATCTAACTAGTAATTTTATAAATAGTCTTGTGATATTGACATCCACAGGGTGATATCAAGAGGCTAACAACAAAATATTTTACACTGTTATGGGGTTTTCAGTTATATCACATGTTAAAAGTTATAGATTTTTGGGGAGGCGGAGCCTGACTGCTGAACTGGCAAATCGCATGCTGTACGAGCTCCGGGCCTGAGACCAGTAATCTGCCTGCTTTACATGCAAAAAACCACCGCAAACCGTTTCATGCAGCAAGAAGACACTTGTGAACGGTCTGTGGACACGGCCCTTTCAGCTACACAGCCGACGGTCAGTACCTCCATGACCGAGCAAAACTGCGGCCTGTGGGATGCGCTCTCCTTTCCCCCGGATCGACTACAGAGCCCGAACATAGTCCCACCCCCCCATGGAACGGCGGGGGTCCAAACCCAAGGAGTCCTGCAGAACATCGAGAGCCAAGATGGCCACCAACAAGATGCACAGACCACTCCAAACTCCCATGACTTGGACCACAGAGGAAGACAGCATCGCAAAGGCCTTCAAAAGATTCTGGGTGAAACACTGGGAGAAAACCCTACAGAGCAAGACAAGGTCTGTCACTGCAGATCCGACCCGAACCAACTTCTTACAGAGTGAATGGAAACCAAGCTGGGCAGGGCTCAAGCATACCACAGCGCGGCAGGGGAGGAAGCAGAGGCATCACAAACAGTCCCGACGTAGACGGCTCGGACCTACAGAAACCTGCAATCCACAAGGATCACTGCTCATTTTGAGAAGAACCCCTCTACGCAACTCGACAGGGCGAACGACACTCCCGTACCGCATACAGTGGACTCCTCCTGAAAGTTTCCAAAAGCGAGTCTCATCTGTTCCAACACATGGGACTTGTGGGTTTGGAGAAGGGTCAGTCTCCAGGCATGGTGCTGGTCAGGAAGCGCGAAGCAGGACTCTGGTACACTGTTTCACACAGCCATTAGGCACTCAGTGGAGGGCATAGGTTGAGCTATGCAATAAGCATAGGTTGCACACTACAGTCTGACATAGGGCTTCATTGTCTGCATCTTAAGCATTTGTCTACCCAGGGATAATTACCCACTCATTCTGAAGCGTCTGTTAATTTTCATATATTTCTAATAAAATAGTCAGTTGTTAAGCATATTTAGCCACTTACGCATACGCTATGACTTGCACCACACTACTGTTCACTATGTATTACTTAAAAAATGTGCACTGTTCTTCATACCATACAATTGTCTTTATATGTATGTTAAAACTCTGGCAACAGCTGTTGTGGCATTAAGTGGATTAAGTGAGTGAGTGTTTAATAAAAATATCTGTAAGACCCATTGTATCCATTGTTAACCAACACAAGCATACTATAAACTGTGTGAAACATAGGTACTATTATTGTAAGGTAGCGATTAAAAAATAGACTTGGCAAGCTGGCAGGAGTGGACTCCTGGTAAAAAAATAAATAAATTAAAGGAGCACTATAGGGTCAGGAACACAAACATGTATTCTTGACCCTATAGGGTTAAAACTACCATCTAGCCCACCTTGCCCCCTCTTGTCTCCTTAAATATAGTAAAATCGTACTTCTATTCAAGTCTGGAGCTGCATGCTTTGTCCCTGTTTCCTTTGGACCTGCCAACTGCCTGCTGACACCAACAGAAGTGGTAGCCTGATCCAATCACAATGCTTCCCCATAGGAGGAAGAGGCAGATCAAGTGCAAAGCCAACACAATTCAAACACAGCCCTGGCCAATCAGCATCTCCTCATAGAGATGAATTGAATCAATGAATCTCTATGAGGAAAGTTCACTGTCTGCATGCAGAGGGAGGAGACACTGAATGTTTGGATGCATTTAGACAGCCATGACCCAGGAAGGATCTCTAACAGCCATCTAAGGAGTAGCCAGTGAAGTTATCACTAGGCTGTAATGTAAACACTGCATTTTCTCTGAAAAGACAGTGTTTACAGCAAAAAGCCTGAAGATAATGATTCTACTCACCAGAATGAATGCAATAAGCTGTAGTTGTTCTGGTGACTATAGTGTCTCTTTAAATCATTTACAGGAAAAGATAAGACTCAGCATATCCAAAGAGTGACTAGACTGGCATGTGGCATAGACACTTGTAATACAGCAATGTTGACAGCAGAAACTGAACTATTCACATCTCATTTTTAAAAAAAATATGTTTTTAAAGCTAGCAAGTAAAGGAAAAACACCCACAGTCAGCTTATAGCTAATATTATCGAATGCATGTCTTAACTAGACTTGGAGATTTGATTTGGTCCGAACTGCAATTCATCTGAATTTTGGGCCAGTTGGGTGATTGGTGTAATTCCCAAATTACGAGCCAAAATGTAGCCAAATCACAAATCAAAGAAGCCATGCAATAGTCAAACATGTTTGTTTTAATGTGTGATTCTGAATTCTGCCTGTGGTGCCAAAAAAGAGGGGAAAAAAAATTATTGATGACAGTGACTAAATGTTGATTTAATTCACAGATCAAGTGAGAAGTGGACAATTGAGGGGAAATGGAGGTGCAGTAAAAAATATTATTATATATTATATATTTAATAAAAATATAATGTATAAATATGGATTTTTTACTGATCCCCCTGCTTTTCCTTCTTTGGGTTACTTTTTATCATTTGATCCAGGAATCTGAATCAGGCTTTCGGAATCCGAAATTATGGCAAGTCCAATCAATATTCTGCAACATTTTACTTGTAACTCCAATCTTTGTCTCAGATTGGAGTACTTTAAAACAAAAACAAATTGTAATCCATTCCAATGGAATGTGCACTTATTTGTTAATTCAATTTTGTGCTAAAATAGATTTGCTAGTTCTTTTTTTTTTAATGTTACCAGATATATTTATGTTACATGATGGTATTGTCATTATTAGCAAGTTTGTAATGTCGAAAATCTGCCTGTTACCTTTATTGCATAGGCAACAAAAGTGAGATCTGAGTGCACCAGAGGTGCACTCATTCATGATCCACATTCTGAGATGGGCTTTATTGTGTGTTCTCCCCATGGGACCTGGATTCCAAGTGACAGGTTTGTGTGGCATGCACCCATATTTTTCCTCATCTGGGAGAAGCAAAATGTCCTACTCTCATATTGCATCTGCAATTATAACATAAAACAATTACAGCATAAACAGAAGGAGAAAAGGTCCAAAATATGGGTGTCCTGCAATCTTATGAATACGTGTCAGTGAGCAAGGAATGTGAATCTTCAGGTAGGGAAGATTCCATGACACCAGGTGTCAGATTAAACAATGTTACCTATGAGGGTTACTTTAGCATGTGTATTTACCAAACAGCCATTCTTGTTAGAAATAGCCTCACCCAAACTGTTCAAGTCATGGGTGTTTCCAGTAAAGATATTGTTGACATGCTGTATATGCATTTGATGGTCGCAAATAACTTTGAAATTATAAAATTGCTTGCAGTTGTTAGATATGCGTTCTTGATCCTGTTGAGGTCTGAGTGCCACCTGCGTAGAATCTGTGGCATTCAGGACCAGGCCCGGACTGGCCATCGGGCATACCGGGCAAATGCCCGGTGGGCCGCGATGGCCGTGGGGCCGAGGCCGGCAGGGGAGATCACAGGATCTCCCCGGCCGGCTCCTGCAGGGCCAGCGCTACCCGAGCGCCGGCCCCGCTGTGTGCCTCCATGGGCCGGTGGAGAGATCAAAGATCTCCCTTTACCGGCCCAGAGACACTTCCAGGCGGCCGCTTGCTGGGGTGTGAGGGAGGGAGGAGAGGACCGGCGGAGCTCTAACCAGCAGCTCCGCCGGGTCCTCTCGCGGGATTCTGAGCGTTGCCGCGGTTACCGCGGCAACGCTCAGATCCCGCGAGAGTGAACTCTAGCCTACAGGCTAGAGTTCACGCTCACCACTAGGACCACCAGGGATCAGGCAGCATGGCTCTCCCATGGCAGAACGGCTCCCCCCCGTCCCAGGCAAAACGGTTCCCCCCCCTCCTCCCAGGCTAAAGGTAAGAAGGGAGGGGGGGGGATATAACTTTTTTTTTAATTATTATTATTAATAAAAAAATTAAATAATTAATTTAAATTAAAAAATCACACTCACACACACACATCACCCCCAGACACACACAGCACCCCCAGACACACACAGTACCCCCAGACACACACATCACCCCCAGACACACACAGTACCCCCAGACACACACATCACCCCCAGACACACACATCACCCCCAGACACACACAGCACCCACAGACACACAGCACCCACAGACACACAGCACCGAGACACACACAGCACCCAGACACACACAGCACCCCCAGACACACACAGCACCCCCAGACACACACAGCGCACTCAGGCACACAGCACCCTCACTCACACACAGCACCCTCGCTCACACACAGCACCCTCGCTCACACACACACACACACACATATATATATATATATAATATATATATATATATATATATATATATATATATATATATATATATATTTACAGATATATATATATATAATATATAAAATAACCCTCAGTGAGTTAACAGACAAAGAAAATTAGAATGTGACGGCAGATAAAAACACCCTCACACACAGCACCCCTCTTACATACACACACACTGCGCCCCTCACACATACAATACGTCCAAATATATATATGTATGTATATATATATATATACACACACACACACTACAGCACTACATACATTACGCTCCAGATACACGCTAGATCCCTTAACTTATATGCACTCTTAATCCTCTATACACACACACACACAATCTCCTATACACACTCTGGGTCCTTTACACACTAGATCTCCTACACACACACTGCACCGCCTACACACACACTACATTCCTTGTCAGCAAACACATACAACATTCTCTAAACACACCCTCTCTACAACCCCTACACATACTACGTCACCTATACACACACACTACAGCCCGTATGCACACATTCGCTACATCCCCTATAACACTATGCCACCTATACACACACTCTCTACAGCCCCTAGCCACACATATTACACCACAAACACATATGAAATTGACCTATTTACACAATACCACACCACACTCTACACACACGCATTCCCACAAGCAGGCTCCAAACACATGCACCATACACTTTCCTGGCCCTTTTGTCCTCTGGTATCCCACTTATGGAGACACCAGAGACAATTTAAAAGCAAACACAGCGCAAGCATGTTATTAAATTTGCTTGCGCTGCGCAGAACAAATACAGGGCCTTTTTCTAATGCCAGAGCTCTTCAGCGCAGCTCTGCGCATTGAACCAACATGCTCACTTTGAGAGGAGGCGTGCTTGTCATTAGTTATGACAAAACACACCCTCTCTGGCCCCGCCCCCTTCTTAGGGGGCCGCTCTGATTGAAAAATGCCCGGGCCTAATTTTTTCCCCAGTCCGGCCCTGTTCAGGACATTGGGTAATCTCCCCAGTTAGCAGACGCTCTTTTTGACTCTGCATCAGCCTTCAGGAATTAAAAGAATGGAAACATATCTCTATCGATGGGTACACATGTAAACCAGGAAGATGGGCAGCAACTTTAAACAAAGATACCATCCATATGAATGCACTTTACCTTGTTTGCCAGCCCAGGT